GGGAGAGGCGTGGCCGTAGCCGTAGGCAAGCTTAACAAATTAATAAACTGACCGCCATTGCACGAGAAAGTCACATAAATCAATTTCAGGCAAATGCTAAACAATCATAAATAATAATTAAATGTCTGCTGTAAAATAGCCAACAACCTCCCAACCCCATCCCAATCCAAAAGAAGCGCACGACCAATGTAATTAAAAACTGTTCCTAATTATTGAAAATTGTGGTGGACACTTGCACTTGAAACATCTGACGGATAAATTACATAAAATTACTGAGTAAGAATTTAATTCAATAATAGAGTGGAAAAGCACAATGAAAAGCTTGCAATGCCAGTCTATTTATTTATATGAATTTCCCTGCTTCCACTTAGAATGATGGCTAACAGGGAGCTAAGTGTCGTTTGTACGGCTCGTTAGCTCTTTGAAGCGCTTCCTGTTCCGTCAGCTTTCCATCTCTCTCACTCTCTTTTGCTTGTCATTTGTAACGGTTTGTTGAGCAAAGGGTAGCAAAGGTATTTGAGCTCATATCTCTTATTTGACTGACTGTCGTCAAGTGAACTTCTCCATCGCCCAGCACACATTCCATTTCTATTTCTAATTGCACATTTGTATGCCTAATCGATCTGTCCAATTCTATTTGTTTCAGTGTCTATCATGGAATTTGTGTGCCGTGCTGCTTCTATTTTTTCTGTTTTTCCGTTTTTCTGTTTTTCCGTTTTTCCTTTGCGTTTTCCCACACTGCGTGTCACTCTCTGATGACAGTTCATTTCACTTGGCTTGGGCCAGGTGTCCATTTGAGCGGGTTACACAAATGAAGCGTGACATTTTTCACATTTGTTTTTGTCTCGTTTTTTTTTTTATGCTAAACGGGTAACAGATGAAGACCATTTCTGTGTGCCACTGCAAAGAGTTCTTTAAACAGTGCTTTAAGAATTTTATTTGATTTAAATTTAGTTGTATTCTTAAATTCTTATTTTTATTGATTTTTGTAAACTTGATCAGGATCAATAGCCAAGTCGAAGTTTTTATTTATTTATTAGTTAGTTTTGGCCCATGTCAATCAGTTAGTGTCCAAAGTGTACTTTCGAATTTGGCGACAATTCTGTCAGTTACATATTTTGGCAGCTAATCAGCTAATAAATAAATCCAAACGCAGTTTCTCAAACAGCCCACATTATAGTTACATGTTTTAAGCCTTCAAAGACTGTCATAAACGGCATGCAAAATGTTGGCAATCAGGCAGCCAAATACCAGAAAACCTAAGCAGCTTACTTTATCAGCAAACACTGGTAACTGGTGCACTAACAGACTTTGTGAAAGAGTGAATGGAATAGAGAGAGAGAGAGAGAGAGAGAGAGAGGAGGATATAGTATGCATATAGTAAAAGTTGACCAGTTGAGTTGCGTGTTTGCATTGGACAAACGCTGTTCATGTTGCTCTTAAGTCGAGCATGTTGCATTTATAAATAATATTCGCTTATGCGATGCTGCCCACATGCAAGAGTGCCACAGACAGTGCGGCTTGTGGCACGCAATTAAAATCTTCATTAGCCGCGTTTAATTTCCACTTTTGATTAAAAATAATATACAAAAGAAAAAACCTGAAGGAAAACAAGTAAAAACCGAGAAATACGAATCAAAAAACAACTTGTGACATGTGTCGAATGACTTATCGCCATCGCCGCCAGCGCAGCAGCAAGTGGCAAGTGGCGAGTGGCAAGGCAAGGACTTTAGATGTGGCATACGAAACGAAGTTCGAGTTGGACACCGCTCCGCCTGCTGGGGTGCACACACTTCCTGCCTACTGCCTCTTGCCTCTTGTCTCAAGCCTCCTGCCTCTTGTCTCAAGCCTCCTGCCTCCTGCCTCAAGCCTCTTGCTGCCTCCTGTCTGCTGGCTGATTAGCGTTGGACGCTCGATTCGCTGCATTCGGCTCGATAAGGAGCTATCAATGCGAGCCTAAGTGACAGTTGACTTGTTTATCAATTGACAGCTTTTGCTGCGGCTAAATGGCAGACAAACATACACACACACACACACACACAGCCAGACACACACTGAGGCACACAGATACAAACTGCAGTCAGAGATTTACGCTGCGAAAAGTAACTGTTAATAAGCCATGTTGTTGTGGCCTGTGAAAATGTTGCTTTTAATTAAAAGCTGTTGCCGCTTTTGCAATTGTGCGTTCTTAACCCCCACCGCCCGAAATCTGACATTTGCGTCGGAATGTTTGTACATTTGTGGCTGAATACAGCCATGTATGTATATATGCTTGTATTTTAAAGCCCGATGCTGTCAAGATAAAGAAGCCAACAGGCAGTCTCCGCGCATGTTTAACAGCAAATACACCAACAAAATCACAAGAAGTATGCATTATTGGCGACTCCCAAAGACACCGACACAAATACACACAACACACACACACTCAAAGCACACACAACACACACACACACACACAACACACACAACACACACACACAACACACACACACACACACAGCACACACACAACACACAACACACACTTTGTATTATTGAAAACCAATTCTGCTTCGATTTTGGCATTTATACAACTTTATAGATTTATTACATGTCAATGGATTTAATTCAAATGTTTATAAAATAAATTCATAGCAAAGGGAATTTTGTATTGGTTTCTTAAGCGAGTGTTAATTGCATAGGGAATTTGTGTCTGGGTTCAATTTTCAATAGACTTTAAGATTTTAAATGAAAATAAAAGCTGATCAGGAATTTAACTTATTTAGTTCTTAGCCAAGAAACAATCTTAGCATAATGTAATAAAATCAGAAATTTTATTAATATCCAATTGACTGCATCAATAAATTACATATATTTTATGTTGGTTTTGGATCCTTTATAGCTGAAAGGCCTGCTTTAATCGATAGTTGCTCCAAGAGTCCTAATCTTTATTCTTAATTATTATCCACTTGAGTGTTTTCATCATAGTTTATGAACATGCTCGTGCGGCAACTCTAAATGAGACCACAAAATCCGATGCACAAAACTTTGCGGACCCTCGAGTCAAGTTTATAACATTTCTGCAATTAAGCAATATTTCTTAGTCAAGTGCAAAACTCATTGCGGCGGTCAGCAGCGGCGATTAGGATTACTTTTCAACTACAACTTGCATTGTTTTTATTTTTCTCTTCTTGTTGTGGTTTTTTGTTCTTTTCTGTTGTACAAAGTTGTTCAAGTTTTCTTGTTTGGCTGACCGCAGTGCAGAGCAATTTTTGCAGGATTTGTGGCACTGAGATTGCTCTGCCGCTCATTAGACATGTCGTTTAGCATAGCGTAATGAGCGGCCCCAGGCAAGCCAACCAGCAAGGCAGCATGTTAATCTCACAGCTGGCTGCTCCACTTGCACACATGCGAACAACATCCATTTCCATAAATATCAATTAAGGGACAAAATATCAGAAGTGACAGCAACATGCGGCTGCCACGTCTCCAACAGCTACCGCAGTGGCTACCTGTGGGGCAGCCTACGCATTGAAGTCATCAACGTTGTCCATGTTGTTGTTGTTGTCGTCAAGAGTCGCTTGATATTTTCTATAATTGGACAATTTCGGTGCTACTGCATTACATAGTTGCTCGACCCTGTTCGGCCAGAGTGCAGCCATGCAGCTCATTAAATACATATCAAAATGTATTAGCTCAGGGCCTGGGAGTTATAGTTTTGGCGTTGATCCGTAACTGTGGGCGTGTCAACACAATTGCAGTCACGTCAGGGTTCAATGGGTTTGTCAATTTGTGGCTAATTCGATTTTGTCGCCTTTTGCTCTTTAAATTCAATTAGTCTGTGTCGGCCGCCCCCAACTAACTGGGCACAAAAGTTGTCGAAGTTTGCCCAGCCCAAAATTCCGACTCGAATAAGAAGCTTAGTAAGAAAATGATTATTAAAATGCTTTCACTAATTTTCAGGCCGGCTAGCTCATTACGACATATAGACGGAGAGACAGAGTAACGAAATAAACATAAAAACATTTTCCGAGCTCTATTTGGCAACACTAAGCGTCCACTAAGCGTCAATATTTCATGCTAAGCCTATTAGAGATTATTGTGCCAGCTTACAAAGGCCTAAATGACAAGTGGGAACTGGCAGCGCGGGAGTGGAAAACAAGGGAAGGGAAGGGAAGGGAAGGGGAGATGAAGTCTGGGGACAGTCTTGCGTTTATTAAGCTTACCATTTGCATAATATTTGACACCAAAAGAAGTTAAATGGAATACTAAATGTTCCGACAAGTTCTTAACTTTGACGGGGAAATCGCTTAAGAGTTATACAAATTGTGATTGTAGCTCGGCTGTTAACCCAAATATTGATACAAGAAGTAAATAAAAATTAATCTAAATAATTGTCTAACTTGCTGTGCAAGACATTTAAAGTTAAAGCAACACTAAATCTATTTCATTAAGCCAATGCAATCAACGTTTGATAATATACCCTGTAAATTTATGTCACGGACTGAAGAAGACAACGCCTGTTTCAAATCAGAAAGACGAGATGGATCGATATACATATGTCAGCCTTATACGTTAATCAGTTTAATACAAACACATAAGTTATATATTGACAAATGGCAGCAGAGTGTCTTTTAGCCGGGCATAGCCTCTCAGCTAGAGCATCATTGTTTTTGATGGATGCATGTTTATATCTGCATTCCAACTGCAGCTCATGCCAGCTAAAACATTTGTTATGGAAAATTGTTTTCAAAGTGGAAAAGTTGGCATTGTAATGGCCAGAAACGATAATGTAAAAGAAAACTGGTTAGATGTGCAATATATATATATACATATATAGATATATATGGCTTAAATTCGTTACTAACAAATGGAAAAAAAATATTTAAACAGGATTACAAAATGGGTCAGCTATTTGATCTCCAGTTTTTCAGCAATGTGTTTGCACAGCAATGAACAGTTAGCAGTTAGCAGCTAGCAGCTGTTTGGCTCTTTGCAGTAACTATTTAGTTGGCAGCAAGATGAGGTTAGAGCTCATCTGGTTTGCGGCTCTGCAGAGTGTCCTCGTGTATGGTGCCAAGTTGTCAGTTGTCAAAGTCAACGTCGAACGGGAGTCCTTTTTGGAGTGGCTTTCGATGATATTGTGGCCAACTACAATTAAGCCAGAACCCGAATCAACTCCAGGATCGACAACTGAGATACCCCAAATCAGCAACTATCCCGTTGGGAGGGAATGCACCTGTTGCCACTGTGGTCTAATGAACAATGTGCCGAAGATCGTTGGTGGGCACGAGACGTGTCCTCAGCAATATCCGTGGATGGCTGGTATTCTACTCCTTGGTCACTTCTACTGCGCTGCATCTCTGATCAGTGATCTGTACGTGCTAACTGCAGCTCATTGTGTTCAAGATGTGCCCCCGGAGATAATCACTGTAAGACTATTGGCACACAATCGCAGTAATAGCGATGATCCTGTGGTGCTGGACCGTCTCGCCGTCCATGTGAGAGCCCACGAGCTATATGATCAGCGCAGTTTCGAGAATGATATTGCCCTCATTCGGTTGGAACAGCCGGTGACTTTTGAGACAATCCTGCGACCCGTTTGCTTGCCTGCGCCCGATTCCAGTTTCGATGGGAGGGTTGGCATTGTGACGGGTTGGGGCGCACAGCGGGAGAATGGATTTGCTACGGATATTTTGCAGGTGAGTTGATTGGTTTAATTCGAATTCAAAAGATTCATAATACCCTGAACACGTTCAAAATTCTGTGCGTCTGTCTGTGTGCCTGTCTGTGCGTCTGTCTGTATGACTCGGTGACGATTAGAGCTAGATCAAGTCTATTCCATGTTATCGATAACGCTAGTAATCCATTATCGATACCCATAAAAGTCACAATTTTAAAGATATATAGCTAGACATAATATTGATAGTTCATCTGATAACCATATTTACCATAAATTTGATTATCTAAGGTCTTGCGTTCAGGGTATCTCCTAGTCGAGCTCTCTCGACTAGAGCATTTTTACTTGTTTTTCTTGTTTTTCTTTTTTTTTTTTTGTTTTTTTTTTGTGTGCTAAGCTAACCTTCAACTAAATATACAAATCTTTTCTATGTTTCTTCACCTGCAGAGTCTGAACTATATTCGTCTGAATATTTCTTTATCAATATCTTTCTCACTGCCTTTTTGCTGTTCTTTCTCTTTCTCTATGGCACTCTCTCTCGAACTCGTTCGGGGCGTGCCGCGTCTTAAGATCGTCCTCTCCTGATGGTGTTTGATCTTTGTTTGTATTTATAATTATTATTTTGTTTTTTTTTTTGCTTTTTTTTCATTCCCAATACCTCTTGATCCCCACTTCACTCGGACCTAGTCCGCTTAGTTAAACCTTTTGCCCATCTTCTTGCCAACTCAACAGGAAGTCGACGTATTGATTCTCAGTCAATCCGAATGTCGTAACTCCAGCTATACACCCGCCATGATCACCGACTCCATGCTTTGTGCCGGCTACCTGGGCGAGGGAGGCAAGGATGCCTGCAGTGGAGATAGCGGCGGACCGTTGCTTGTGTCACTGAACGAGCAGGAGCCGGAGCAGTATCAACTGGCTGGGATTGTCTCATGGGGCGCTGGCTGTGGCAGACCCGACTCACCGGGCGTTTATACCAGAGTGAATCAATACCTGCCTTGGATTACAGACCACACATCTGATGCTTGCGACTGCACATCTGAAGCCACACCCAGAGCCGAACAGAAATTGGTAGTTGGGTTGGCTAATTGCAGTTTGTAGCTACGCACGGAGTGCACCTGTCAAACTTTGACTACAACAGTTCGGAGCACCCTGGAGGCAGGGCAAACTTTTGGCGATTGCATTTGAAAATATGTATTTGTAAATTTTGCATAAACTACTTTGACTCAGTTTGCGTGCCATTTTATTTTCCCCAGCAGAGCACTCGCATTCACACTCACGTTAAGAGGATCCCATAGCTGCATCCATAAACGTAACCGTTACCGAATCCAAATCCGAATCCATTGCCAAATAAAAAAGCAATTTGAAAGTGGGTTACCTTACTCGCTCTCTCCCTCTCCCTCTCCCTCTTTGTGTCCCTTGCATCTTCATCTGCATTTTTGGTTTATGATACGATGCAAGTTTGCTTGGCGAAACGGGGCCAGGGACGCGCTGCAGGACCTGGTCCAGAACGAGGCCAGAGTCGTATCGTCTCACTCGTTCTCATATAAATAAATCCCAATTTGCCGCATTTCAACTGCCGCCGCATGCGAAATATTTTGTGCAATTGAGTTTCTTATGCATTTTGCATTGGCGCAATCATAAAAATAAAATAGAAAATAGAAAATATAAAATACCACAGGCAAGGACACCAGCACACGAATCCGGAGACCAGCAGGAGCAAGTTTTTCATTCGAGATAAATTGCTCGAAATATTTGTGGCAAGTGAGTTTCTTAAAGTTGCAATACGATAAGCATAACTTTCTGTTATTGCCAACAAATTATTTACTCTGCCTGGAGGGGAATGCATATTCCCAGCGAGCTTTGATTGGCCATAATGGAGAGCAATGATACTTATGCCAATAACTCAAAATAATAAACTTTGCAAATTGTACATTTATTTATACATTTCTTTTACGATTTACACTGAGTCCGTTGTATTTGTATGATTTTTATTGAATAATATGCTTTCATATCTTGCTCGAATAACTCTCACAAATTCAGTGTGTGTTTTCATTTCTTATCGAATAACGAAGATCTCTCCAATCTGTAGAAGACAAGTAAAGTAAAGGCATCGGTTGGTAAAGTATCTCAGATTTTTCCATCATTTTTTAGTGTAACGCTTTTGCCATCAAGCCAAAAGGGCAAATTGACACGCCCTGGTTTCATATATCGTAATATGCAAATAGTTTTACAATCGCCATGGTTCATTAAAAATGTTTACGACTTCATATTAAAACTACACACAAACTGTGAAACCGTAAAGAAATGCATTTATACTCTTGCCAATAAATTTGTCTCACTTTTTGTTATTTTTTTTTCTGCTTTGCTTTCTGTTACTGTATTCGGTGTTCGGTTTTCGGTTTTCGGGGCCAGGGCACAAAACCCATAAAGATTTCCTACTCAAAGCCATAAAGCAGTCTCGGAGTCTTGTCTTAAACTTAAAGTACTGTCGGCCAGCATGGATTTCCAGCTAAACGACAAATAACTTGGCATTTAATAACTCTACGGGTCCAACTTTTGCTCTCCATCTCTCTCTCTCGCTCACTCATACTCGCTGTCTCTCTGTCTCTTTCTTTCTCTTTCCAATTCTGCAGTGGGTTCATTATTATGCGACGAGTCGACTTCATTGCGAGTTGAGGGGTTTCATAATTTAAAGCAGCGCTTTGTCGCAAAATCAATTTATGTGCTGAAATTAAAGCTGAGGTTGGTAATCGAAATGGATATGTGAGAAAGAGAGAGAGAGAGAGAGAGATAGAGACAGTAAGCGAGAAAGAGACGCATCATCAAGAGTTGAAAGAACTTCAGTAGAGAAAATTGAAAAATATATTTATAAATAAAAAGTAAGTAAATCATTGCATAGATGCTCAACGTGATATCGAAGCATGCATTTAAACTATAAATTCTTTTTTTATCTATGAGTCTCTCTCGACTCCAGCAGACATCTAGCATCAAATACAATAATCATGTGTCATGTTCATAAGTGGTGCCTCCAATGATGCCCAATGATTTCAGTAAAAATAACCTTCACATTTTCTGGGAATGCAAACATGACACATCTCATTATGATGATGTGACTTCCAAAATGATGGAGCCTCCGCTTTTGGCCACAATCATTTGCATGTGCCCCAATCAACACACACACACACACACATACAACCCTCAGGGCTGATTCAGTCCTTTTCTGGTCGTTGTTGCTGCTGCTGTTGTGCGTATGTCGCTGTCGGAGCATTTTGTTTATGATTTTGTAGCTGTCATAAAGTTATTAAAAGTATGTGACATTTTTATGACATTATGACGTCTCGACTCAGAACGACCCAGCCAGAGAGAGAGAGAGAGAGAGAGAGAGAGAGAGTCTCAGAGAGTGCTCAAAATAAATGCCACTTGCTTTTTGTTTTCATTTCATTTGGGACTCGCAGCTTCGTTTGCCCCACGAGCAACAACATGCCGTGAAATATGATATCAAATAAAAAGCAAATTAAAGACGATAAAAATCGTGTCTCGCCTCATGCTGTGCGTTATAAAAACAACAACATTTTCGTTTATATTTTTTTATTTTTTCTTTTGCGAAATCGAAGCCGAAAGCGGCTAAATGTGACCTGAGTCTTGGAGTGGCTTTAAAAAAAAAAAAAACACAGAAAAGAAAACGAAAATTTGCCTCGGATTTGGGGTCTGGTCGGTTCAGTAGTTCTTCTTGTTATTGTTGGTGTTATTCGGCTTGTCATTTGGTGGCTCATAAAACTTGTAAACATCGCACTGATTGTGCCCCCAGTTGAAAGATGCTGAGATATTTTCCATCAGGTTATATTACAGTTTCAGTTTTGGTTCGAGTTTGGACTTGCCCCCTCCAACTTAGCATGTGTCGCAATGAAGCAAAGGCAACTGACATCTGATAAGCTGATGACATCCACATTGATATTTGTTTGTGGTCAAAAAGAAGGCCAATTAAGCCCACATTAAAGATACATTTGTATCTGCAATATGTTAAGTACTTTTTCAAGTTTTCTTTGCTTTAAATACCAAATGAAATCCGTTGATAATCAGTATATTTTAACAAACGAAAATATTTAAATAATATTATTAATTTTTATTCTTTATCCTTGGATTACTTGAAACAAACATCTTTTCATATATGCATATGAAAAGATTCAAACAATCTTTTGGATAAACTCTTTTTAGCTTTAATTCGAGCGCTTTGGTTTGGAGTGGCGCAGATCGTAGCGACGTCGCTTGGAGGCAATCTTTAGTTCGGGTTGACTCTCGAGATCCTCTTTGCTATCATTGTCAATGTCTCCATTGGCATTTGTATTGATCCCTGAATCGTCCTTGACATCGACAGCAGCGGCAGCTGACTGCAGCAGATCCTCGCCAGATTCAGTCTCGTTGGCTGTGTCGGCCTTCAAATCATCTGGAACTGTTTTGTTCTCTGCACAGTTTTCAACCAATTTCCCTCGCTTGACCTTCGGCTGGCTATCGGCTCCACTGCCCCAAAGATCGTCCATCATTTGCTCCAGCTCAATGTCCTCGGGCAATGGATTGCTATTGTCCGCTGGCAGCTGAGAATTGTCGTCGTTGTTAGTCGTGTTAGTCTCCTCGTGCTTGGCTACGGGATCATCCTCATCCTCCGAGTGTAGGATGCCAATGGGCAGATTCTGTTGGAAGGCATTCGCCTTGCTGACCTCGACAACAATGTCGCTGTGGCCAGCAGTGTTCCTTGGGCCATAGTGTGGCAAATATTCGCCAAAGAACCCATGGATCAGCGATGGATTCACATTGCCATAGTATCCAGCATAGTCGGGCACATGATCAACCTCAATGTTTGACTCCGAATCCTGGGGATTCAGATATATCGCTTCCAGTGCTGGCGGTAGCAATGACTCCGCCAACTGTCGATTGCTGCCGATGCGTCCACGTCGTGGCAGTTGCTCCTCCGTCTTATGTTCCTGCTGCTGCAGTTGTCGCACATCGTTCTGGTAGTTTAACAGCGTATTGAAACGCATACGGGTCATCTGCAGTCTGGAACACGAGCCGTGAATCATGGTGCAAGGATCTTTGGCAACCTCATCAATGACTGGCGTCTCCACCTCCAGCTCACATTCCGGTGTATTTATGCAAATGAGCATCTCCTGTTGATGTGGCTTAAAGTGCTTGTGCTGAAAGTACATCTGGAAATTGTCCTGTGGCTCTGAATGTCGCTCCACAGCCTGGAAGCCCACCTCGTACAGCTGGCTGACAAGCTGGGCTACGCTGCGACAGCGAAAGATGCTCTGGTCACTGAACAGATAATCCTGCAATCCGATGTAGCTCAACTGCAGCAGCTGACCATCGCCGGACCAATTGATAAAGTTGATCTGCTTACTGCTGGCCGCCAGATGAAGCTTGCGGAGGAAGTTGTAATTGAGCAACGACTCTGGATCACGATCGGGACTGGGTGCAGCAGTGGTAGCAGCAGTGAGAGCAGCAGTGGCAGCAGCAGTGGTAGCAGCAGTTGCAGCAGCAGTGGCAGCAGCAGTGGCAGCAGCACGGGGAGCAGCAGTGAGAGCAGCAGTGGCAGCAGCAACGGGAGCAGTGCCAGCAGCAGTAGCAGCAGCAGTGAGAGCAGCAGTGGCAGCAGCAGTGGGAGCAGCAATGACAGCAGCAGTGGAAGCAGCAGTGAGAGCAGCTCGGGGAGTAGCCGTGGCAGCAGCAGTGCCAGCAGCAGTGCCAGCAGCAGAGGGAGCAGCAATGACAGCAGCAGTGGCAGCAGCAGTGGCAGCAGCACGGGGAGCAGCCGTGGCAGCAGAATAAGTAGTTGGAACAAGAGCGCTTGCAGTCACAGCAGCTGCCTGGCGAACTTTTTCCTGCGGCACCAACTTCGACTCCGATCCCGGTTCCGGAATGGGCTTTGGATTATTCTCCACCTCGTTGGACTCCGCGTCGAAAGCTCTGAAGAACTTCACCAGCTCTGATTCCCCAGTTTGCGTCCGCTCCTGTTGCACGACTTGCTCAGCTAAGGCATTAGCTCTTTTCTTAGTCTTCCGGCTTGGCATGTTTTATTACAACTTTTTTTCGGGTCTGCTTATTGACGAGATATTTTCTCAAATGAAACGCACAAAATTCGACTCTGTCATCCAAGGCAGTTAGGGATGAAAGCTTTCCAATACTGACAACGATTCCAAAGTGAATGCGATACAATAAATAAAATCGATAGGTTTTTCCAAGCTCCAAAATATATTCGAATATGAATTGAAGCTTCGATAAAATTGACATAGAAAGTGAACTACAAATAAATAAATAAAAAAAAGTATCGTTTTTGGTGTGTTCTTTATTTTGAAGAATGCAAATTGATTTATGCTGTTTTCTTTTTTCATATCAATGCTTGGAACTGTGTTCCGTTCCCTTCATGGCAAATCAACTTTCCCATTGAACTTTAACGACTTGGCAACATTTCCTCTTTAGCCGCAACGCCCCCAACATGCAACATGCAAATAGAAACAAATGTGAAACTTGACTACAAAAAAAAAAAAAAATAATAACATACAAAGAAAAAAAGAAGAAAACTAAAGAAAAAGTACTTCTGAATGTCGAATATTGAATACACTTTCTTGCATAAATATGTCTTTTGCTGGCTACAGCTAAAGTGATTCGGAATTGGTTTATGGCATTTGTTGAATTGTTATTAATATAATTTATTTTAAAAATTAATTTAATCAACTACTTTCCACAAACTTATAAAACTCTGTTGCAAGCGTATAGAAATCAGTCACAAAAAATAAGGAAAAAAAGACGATAGAATATTATAAAGCAGCAAACACATTTCATTCCATTTGAATGCATTTTATGTATTGTTTGCAATAAATCTATTGTTATTCATGTGCACCCTTTTGGCACCCGTCGCGACGTCACGCACTCAGTTGGCGGCAAATTTCAAAGGGGGGTCCCTTTCAAAAAAAAGAAAAAAGGATACACCCGCAATATCAATAATAACAACAACATAAAAAAGGCCGCCAACATTTGACACTGGTTGTTGTTGTGGTTGTTGTGGTTGTTGTTGGGTATTCGAGAGACCAAAGCACGTAGCCAATCAGTCGAAGCGGGTCGGAGGCAACAGTAGCTTTAAATTGACATTTACATGATTATTTAATATACATCCTTTAATCATGAGGCGTTCGCTGTGTTTGCCGGGCAAAGAAACCAAGTTTTATGTTGGTTCATTGGCTGCCTGAATGAATGAATGAATGAATGGATGGTTGGCCATCGACATGAACATCGACATTGGCATCGACATTGGCATCAATATGGCCACATGCCACAGGCAGTGGACAGGAGTCATGTATGTGCCATATTTATTAATGCTCACTTAGGCTTTAAAATAAAATAAATGAAGAGCAACTAACTAACTACAACTAAAAATAAAATAAAATTAAAATAAAATAAATTGCTCTAAATGAAAATAAAATTCTGATTCTGTTATGAAATTAGTATTTGTTTAACAAAAATTAAGTCAAAAATAATCAAAGTATAAGTTTGTTAAAAATAACATTCATAATTTATTTAAGAGTAGTTCTATATGTTTTATATATACAATGATATCTGATATTAACTTGTTTAAAAATTGAAAATATTTTCATACTTTAACTGCAAACAAACTTTGTTTGATTGGTGCACTTTGAGTAATTTGCAAATCGTTAAAATTTGATTCTGATTTTATGACCACTGCTGGCGACTTCTGCTTTGATCTGTCTGTGGTTAACTTTATGGCCAAGTTATGATTTTCCGCTTTTATTTGAACTGTGCAACTGTGATAAACAATAAAAGTCGCGAATAAATTTACAAGTCGACCAAAAGTACGACACGCACGTGATTTTCACAATGTTTCCTTTTGTGCCTTTTGCAGTTTCCCTTGATTTTCATTTTGGTTTTCCTTCCTTTGCTTTATTTGGATTTTTTTTGTTTGTTTTTTTTTGCGCATGACGGAAACGAGCAAAGTTTCTTTTATGATTTGACGACCATGTAACGTATCCGAGTTCGAGTTAAAATATAGTTTCATTCTCAGTTTCACTTGTGGCTTAGCTTATTTGTTTTTTTTTCTTGCAGTGTAACGCCATAATGGTATTTGTTCAAAGTTCTGGCGGAACATTGCTTAAAGCTCCGGTATTGCTGGTTACAACAGGAATTTTGATTTGCGATTCTGGGTCAAAATTCGTATGAAATTTCTGTTTTCCTGAGTCACAACTTTGTCAACAGTAATCCGATTTTCCGAAACCAGCACTTTTCCAGCACAAAACTGCATTTAACGTGGAAACTGCTATTCAGACTCGATTTCCTTGTTAAAATTTTCTCCATGCGACAGCTGCACTGGTCAAGTTTATAGGTTCGACCTTCTCCGACAGTTTGAATTTGAATTTTTCTGACATCTTTTTAACTTTTGATGCAGTATCAATAAATAATTAATATAATGTTAAAACAGATTCAGACTTTATATAATTATTGGCGAATATATAAAAGCTTTTCTTAAAAGATGCTTTAATTGATTGCTCGATATTTATCGCAGTTTGCTTCGGTTGAACAAAATAAATGCAGATTATTTTGTATGCACTTCGTCCATCTTTAAGCGTTTGAAATATGTTTAAGAATAGAAAAAATAACAAGCATGACTATTGCATGCTCTTTAAAAAGGAATTTTAATCAGCAACTCCTAAATATATAGTGAAATAGATATGCAAACATATAAAACAAACACGGAAAATAAGCAATGCTTTTAAGGAAATTAAGGAACTAAAGCAGCTCTTTATTTAAGTTTAACAATATCTGAAGTACACACAAATTTTATATACAAAAAAATGCTGATTGATTTGCCATTTATCCGGTCATTGATTTGAAGATTACACTAGATACATAGATATATATACATTTATATATATGAAAGGTAATAATTAGTTGGGTTAATAACACATATCCATCTTTGTATCTTTTATGGCAGCACAAGCAACACTCTGCAGTTGAAATACTCTCCACATAAAACTGAAAAGCCGCCACAAACAAACAAATACGAAGGCGAAGGCGCCGTTGCTGAGTTTTAATGCGTGTCAAGTGGTCATACATTATGGGTTTTTATGGTTTATGGGCGCTACTTATATGGCCTGTCCCACACACCACATGTGTGTCTGTTGTGTGTGTGTGTCTCTTGTGTGTGTGTTTTTTTTTGGGCGTTTTACTTGCATATTTTCAAATATTTTTGTTTTGAATGCCATAAAAATGAAAAGACGCACTCTTTGTTGCCCCCTTCCCCTGCCCCACCACACACTTTGCATCCCTTTCACCGTTTGACAGCTGTCAAATTGCTTTCCTATAAACTTCCGCCCGGGTCCAGCTGAGCAGTGTCAATTGCATTTTTATGAGCTTCTGATTTGTTCGTCTTATTTGGAGTACACATGACTCAGGCGAGCAACTCTCTCTTTGTGGGTTCCTTCACTCACTGATGACTCACAAAACGCTGAGCAAACAATGTCAAGCAATAATCCATCAATCATTTTACATTCTCAAGTCCAAGTCCAAGTCCCAGACTCGCCTCAACTAATTAAAATAAATGGTTAGTTCTCGTATTGTAACTCATAATTAGTGAAGGATTGCACAATGAGCGCCAAAATTCATTGATTATATGGTCAACATGCCAACGAATCATTTTTCAAAAATATATACATATATATATACACATATATATATATATATATATATTTATATATATTGCTACTTGAATGGAACTTAATTGGTGTTAATGATGCTTCAAAACTCTGACGTTTTCTTTTGAACTGCTAATCTATAATTACAAAATGTGCTTTGTGTTAATGACAAAAATGTAAATAAGAAAATCAAGAAAAATAAATAAAAATTCCAAATAAATAGGCAAACATATAAACCAGAGTTCCGTTCCAGTAGTTCTTTCAATATGCCATAATAATAATAATGGTAATTGAAATGCTGTAAAAAGTTCCAATTATTTATTATTATTACAACTTGCTTATCGCAGAGTCAATAAAAGCTGGCGACTTCAAATTTGGAATATAAATTCGCCGATAAAGTTTTTATTTGATTGATAACTGCACCCGTTTATAAATGAATAAAATGAAACTAAAATATTATATTTGACATAGAAAAGAATACTCAGTTTTTAGCTACTCTGTCTACATTTGGCTCACATCTGTTTGCTGGTTCCAATTGAATCTTAACCCAAGTTAAATCTGACTAATTGCAATGCTAATTCCATTTAAAAGGGACTAGTGAAAATCTGTTTGCCTTTGCCTTGTAATATGATATTTTCGTTGGTAAATGTGTAACCCTCTCGGAGAACTCCACATTTGGTATTACTTTCCCTTGGGCTCCGCAGGAGTGAAAGTATTTGTTAAGTATTTGTCTGCTATGCGTTTGCCTAATGAAGCGTTAAAGGACTCGTTCCTTGTTGCTGATAATTAACGCAACTCCAAACTCCGTTTCAGGCCAGGCCAGGCCAGGCTCGGCCAGGGATACCATTAACCCTTGACATTTGTCACATGCACACACAAGGCAAAAAAAGAAAGGAGTTGTCAGCTTCGAGTCCTGTTGCCGAGTTGCAAGTCAATCTACGTGATGTGGCGTCCTTTCTGCTGCATGCCTCATCGACTTGAGCAACGCAATTGTTGAAACAGATGTCAAATTGTTGAAAATTTTCCTCGTTTTTCCCCCTTTCTTTTTTGTTTTGTTTTTTTGTATTTATTTTTCTATGCGTGTGTTTGTTCTGGCTTTTGTTTTCTTTTGTCTTGGCTCATTGACTGTGTGGTTTCGAATTTCTGTGAAATATTTCAGCCTGCCCCTTCTCTCTGCCTGCCTCTCCCTTGGACAACTCCCAAGCAACTTTAAAGTATTGAATGCATCTCCATTTCAATTCTATCGATTTGTAGTCCTGCCAGACAGAGAAAGCGATATAGAGAAAGATATATTAAGAAAAGGAGTTGTGCATTGACAATCAAATGTGAAAACTCGACAAATTCTAAATATATACACCAAATTGTGTATGTTTCCCAAACACACTTGGGGAATAGATTCCCCGGTGCGGGAAATGCATCCATTTTAAGTGAATTGAAATCTTCTCAATATTTTCAGTTTAACTGCGGATTAATTTGATTTGTATAAATTGCTGATAGAACTCGAAGGTAAACCTTACAAATAATTCGAGGTTTCTTATATATTTTATCGCAGCAACTCAATAACAAATTCAATTTTCTCTAATAATTTTCATCAGTTTTTTGCCATGCCTGTCGTGCCTTGAAACTGTTACAACTTTGTCAAAATTCCACCGATTTTCAATGCCAAATCCATTTTGATATTCCCTAACTAAATTCTAAATAAATTTGTGGCATTTTCTGTCAATTAAAAATATCAAGTCAATTAAGTTGCCAAATTCATTTTGAATTTAGTTATGCGAAAGTACAAGGCAGCTTTGCCTCTCTTTCTCTATTTTAATTTAGTTTTGAGCAACTTTCTTTCTGCCTTTTATTTCAATTAGTATTCTGAGTAGCTATTCTTTTCTCTCTCTGTGTTTTAATTGAGTTCTTCGAGTGTAGACTCTAGTTTTAGAGCAGCTTTTCTTCTCTATCTTTCACTTAAATTAGTTGAGAGTAGCTTTTCTTCTCTATCTTTCACTTAAATTAGTTAAGAGTAGTTTTTCTTCTTTATTTTCAATTTAATTGAGAATTGCTTTTCTTCATTCTCTTTTGATTAGGTTGAAGGCAGCTTTTCTTCTCTCTTTCTCTGTAAATTTAGTTGAGAGTAGCCTTTCTTCATTTTCCTTCTTTTATTTTAATTAATTTAACGTAGCTTTCTCTCTCTCTCTCTCTCTCTCTCTTTCCCAATTGAATCTGCAATTCTTTTACCAATTTATGCGCTTCTCAGTTTAAGTTGCAGTCAACAGCGCCTTCAACTTGCAACTTCAGTTGAGCTCAGCTGAGTGCGAAAATCATTTGTGATGAATAATACAACTTTATCAGCGACGAGTATCGTTTTGCTTGAGGTGCCCCCTCACTCGTTGCTGCTGTTGCTGTTGTTGTTGTTGTTTGTGGCAGCCCCTCCCCAAATTTGGCATTTGCTGTGCCAGCCTCGCAGTTTCCTTGAAGCGTGCATAAGTGAAATGTGCGCAAGATACTTCAGCGTGCAGCATACAGATACAGATACAGATACATTCAAGTCAGCAGTCGTGGGGCAGCATCAGCATCAGCAGCACCAGCAGCAGCATCAGCAGCAGCAGCAGCAGCAGCAGCAGCACCCAAAAAGGTAATTAATCATCGTCATGGGGCGTGTGCACGATTCGCTTAACGTGCGCCGCTGGCGGTGGTTTTCTGCATGTGGAGCCTAGCAGTGGAGGAGGGGAGTGTGTGGCAGTTGCAAGTTGCGGTTACCCAACTGCTGTTGACTGTCGCTTGTGCTGCTTTACGGGGTCGCCGTCTCAGACATTTGTGGCATATTACTCAAGGCAGATATACTTATATATATATATATATATATTTCCATATTTCCATATGTGCTCTGACACCCATGCGACATGTCTGGGTGTGTGTGTCTGGGGGAGGGTTGGGGGGGGGGGGGCTGATTGTTACCAAGGGGCGTGGCAATAATCATAACGAGCTAAATTAATGCGTTTCTTTCTACATGGAGCAGAATTCCCGTGCAGCTTGTGACACATTTGCTGATTTTGCCAAAACAGTCGCTGAAATGGGGAGAGACACACACAAATTGAGTCTATGTGTAAAATATACCCTGTAATCGCAATAGGCACCTGCTTTATAAAAGAAAAGAGAGGAGTATTAATGATATAAAAAAGTTCCAGCTGTTTTTTAATGATATTCAAATATTGTAAAATCAATGTAGAAAAAAGGCATTGTTTTTTAGAGCTAGTTTTTCTAGCTATTTTATAGCTTCTACGGCTAGAATATTAAGGCAAGTAGCTTTTTTTGATTTTACACATATATTTAAGTAGCTTAACTTTAATTATTACTACTTAATCAGATCAATTTTAAAATGTGTTTTTTTTTTATTTTAAAATTTGATTAGCTTCAAAGTCTGTCCTTTGATTGTCTTTTTATCGCAATCCAGGGTATGCTTCAGTCCTGCATTTATATATAAATCGCAACTCATTAATAATATTTGCTTCTAATATTTTTGTTTCTAGCTGAAATTTTGCTTTTGGCCAAGCGGATTCAATTTTAATTGATGTGCGGCTGATTTCAACGATTTCGAGACTCATTTGACTTGGTCAACGGGGCGTGGCATCGCAGAGGGGGAGGGCGAGCCTTGAGCGGATTATGCATGAGGCATAAACAGCTAATTGGATGCTGAGCTAATTAGTGTTGTCTAGTTGGCTTGAAGTGGACCAGAACCAGGTATAAAGCGAGGAGTTTGGATGGGGAAAATTCTTCCATCCTTGAGAATATGATTATTTGTCGAAATTCTGGTAAAAATCTATTTGAAACGTTAGTAATTATATATCTTAAATCATATTTTAAAGTATTTTCAATCATTCAATATTTAAATCTTCACTGTAAACTTTCAGCTTCTGTAAAAGTGCTGTTAACAGAGGCTGTTAAATGCGACGATACCTGTAGCAGCAGCAGCGACTGTTACTGCGACGACGTGTTTGACGACGGCGTCAATTCTCACCCGCACACAAAAACAGACACTCGCCGACAATAAAAACACGTACTTATCAGTGGCACACACACACACACACACACATGCAGAGGCACGAAACAGACAACAACAGAGAGCTTGCTTGAAATAAACAAAAAACAGCTGTTTGCTGTCTCACTTCCAAATTCCAGTGAGAGTAGCAGCTGAGAAACAGGTTTTGTTGTCTGCCGGCATTCGAGTGGCGTTGCTATAAAAAAAGAGAGAGAGCGAGAGAGAGTTTATAGCAAGTCCAGGCAGATTTTGTTGCATGACTTAAGTTTGATGAAATTACATTTAAAATGTGTAGAAATGTTAATTTGAAAAATAACAATAAAAATAACTAAGAATTATAGAAATTTGCATGTGTAAAATAAAAAAATTAAACAAAGACAAATGCATTCAATTTGTGTTTGTCAAACTCTCACAAGTGAATTTCTCGCATGCGACTTCTTTACTTGCTCTCTCAACAAGCGCAGCCGAGCGACTAATCGAACCGAAGGCAAGCACGAGCATAAAACCGTTCGTGCCGAAGCCGAAGCATCCATACAGCCACCCACAAGCGCACGCACACACATACGCATGCCGCTACTTATGCTTAGAGTTCTGTTTGACTCTGCTGCTGTTGCTGCTGCTGCTTCTGCTGCTGGTGCTGGTGCTGGTGCTGTCGCTTCCAATTGGAAGGCGCCAGTTGTAAAGCGAAACTCGTCGCGAGCGGTTGTCTTCCTGAGCGCCGTTCTATCGTCGTTGTCGTCTCAGTCGTCGTCGTCGTCGTTGACGTTTCCCCGTTCAACTTTCAATTTTACGTAAATTTTTAAATTGCGCGACGTTCTATGCAAATGTAAATGCGAAAAAAGGAGCAGCGAAATGTGAAATGTGAAAAGCGCGTGTTGAGGCTTTAAAAGTTGTTAACATTAAATCTTCCAAAGTCATAAAACGGTAAACAGCAGTGGCATCTGCACAGCGTCGACTCCAATAAGAAAACAGCGTTTGCGAACTTTACGCTGCTTTGAACCTTTTAAACGCGCCGCGCTTTTTTCGTTTTGCACGTTAGGCTTTGCCATCCAATTGGTATTGCATTGATTGAATAGCAGCTGACGCTGACGCTGACGCAGACGCTGACGTTCCAGCTTAGCGGTTCGCGGCATGCAAACACAAATTCTAATTGCAAAGTGTGACCAAAGTGCGTTGAATCTCGATTTAAAAAGTAATTTGCCGCCGCTTTAACAGTGCTTTTGTTGTTGTTGTTGTTCTCGTTCATCTTCTTCTTCTTGTTGATGTTATTATTATTGCGGATCATTTTCGCTGATAGTTTTAATTAATTTTTATCGCACACCACTTGATTTATGCATATGTATGCGTGTGTGTGCGCGTGCTTGTGTGAGAGAGAGAGGAAGAGAGAGGGAGAGTGTGCATAATGTGAATAATTCAGAAACATACAATTAATTCAGGATAAATTGAAGCTGGGCAAAATTGCATAAAAAAACACACACACAAATTATAATAACAATTATAGTTTAACGTTGAAAATATGATAATTACGAGCATATTGCATTAATGAGGTGAGTCTTTCGCATATTATTTAAAATAAATTAAGCGCTTTCTCTGATAAATATATAAATGATAATAAAAGTAGACAACTGTTTTCAACAAAAATACAAAAATATTATGCAGAAATTTATCTAGAAAAGTAATTTGATTTTGAGTGGAAGTTGTTTCAAATTAATATATCGCAATTATTTATGCTATAGCAATTATTTATTTTGTAGAGAAGGTATTTAAATTGCAGATCTTAAAACATATTTTCCTTTGTTTTATTTATTTATTCTTCAATTGTTTTTCACTGCATTTGAAATGTTATTGACAGCTCAACAGTTGTTCTAAAACCCTTTCCACTGCTCTTACAACTGTTTCTGCTTTTTCTTCTTCCTCTCTCCCCTCCCATACACACACACACACACACACACCAGCATGCCAACAACATTATCGGCAATTTCAAATGGGTCACGCTTTGCAGAGAGACTGATTACTGATTGGAATATGCATTGCATGTTTTCCCATTCCCTCCTTCAATTCTACAGACATATGTTATAACTGAGTAACTGCCCCACTCCCCACCCGCCACTGATATCTGCTTCCTCCCGCATCCACATATCGGCCATGTTATTAGCATTTTTGGGCCTGTTGTCAGACGCCGTTAACATTTGTTGTTGCTGTTGTTGTTTTTCTGTTGCACGAATTGCGTTTGGCATCTAATTAAATTTGTAGTTTTTTAAGTAAACTTCAGTTGGTTTTCTTGTTATTGTTGTTTTTGTTGCTTCAGTGCTGTGTTGCATTTCAATTAAATTTGCTGTTGTTGTTGTTATTGTTGTAGTTGTTGTTGCAGTTGCTGCTTCTGCTTCTGCTTCTGTTGCTGCTGTTGTCTAATTATGCGGCGTGAAAATGCAATCCATGTACAAACATTTGTACAAATATTTGACGCGCGACGCGTTGTTGTTGCAGTTGCTGTTGTTGTTGCAGTTGCTGTTGTTGTTGTTGTTGTTGTTGTTGTGGCAGTTCTCGCATTTGCTGTTAGTGTCTGTTGAACGTGCGTCTATTTAAAATGGAACTGAAAATGCAACCAAAATGAAAACTTTTCAATTGTTTAAATAAAAGATCTTGGCGTTTGATATCAGATATATATTTATATATATATATATTTATATAGTCTCTGTTGTAAACACAACAGTTTAAATGAAAATGGGAAAATATGTGAAAAACTTTATGTACATTTTTTTTGCAGGACTTAGAATTATAACTTTTGTCAGCATTAAAAGAATATATGTAAATAGTTGCGAAAAGTTTTCTCAAAATTTGCATTTAGTAACATTTTCAACTAGCAAAAGTTGAAAGCCTAAAAGTTTTCCTAAGTTGTGCCTTTTTCGCAAATGTGTAATAAAAATAAAGGAAATAATTCTCAATTATTTAAACAATAAAACTTAGAAGAGAAAACACAATAAAAATACAAAATAAAACACAAAAATAAATAAAAATGACGACTTATTAAATATTAATGTATTTAAAATAATTAAAATGAATATTGCAATATTTAATATTTATTAGAGGAAAATAGCTAGAATTACCTAGTTATTTGGATAAATAAAATTAACTTTTATTGTCGGAATTTTGTTTCACCATTTTGACCTGCTTAGAAGCCCATTGAAGGAAAACAAAAGCTGCTTTGCCTCATTAGCTTTTTGAGTTGCAAGGCTGCAACTCGCCCGCTTTTGAGACACGCTTTGCAACTGCACTGCAATTAAAATATTATTCAGAAAGCAAAAAGTTGCTTTTGAAAAATATGAAGCATAGAATTTGTAATTCATTCAATTTGATTGTTGTTGTTGATGTTTTGACTGCATTTTGAAGAGCCAACTAGCAACTGCAACTCAAATGAGACCCCACGCAGTTCTTATATGTAACTAAGACAAGGCAACCCATCCCCCATCCCCCACACCCCACCCCCCATCCACAGCGCTTTTCTTTAGGTTTCTGCCTGCATCTGTGAGATACAAAATATTTCACTAGGCGGCCACTTCAAGCTGAGGCAACAGAAACTAGTTCAAGTGCGTGGCAAGTAATTAGTTGTAGGTGTGTGTCTATGTGTGTGTGTGTGTGTGTGTCTGTGTGTGTGTGTGTGTGTGTGTGTCTGTGTGTGTGTGTGTGTATTGTGTATTTGCTGCATTTGTCAAGCTGTCGAGACACGGTGTACAAATTTACCACAAATATTTACAAATAGTGGCAAGCAGCCGTTGCACAGTTTACCTTAAGTTTTCTCAAGTGCTCGCCCCATCTTATACGGGGTTAATTAAAACGCAATTCGAAGTGCAACAGCAAAATGTTGAAAGATTCGAAATTGCTTTTTAATATTTTCAACGGGGTGCACTTCAAAAATGGAAAAACCGATTTCCACTTAGAGATTATGTGCCATGAATGTTTTTGTTGTCTCTCAGCTGTCAGTTGCCTTGAGAAAGGCAATAGAGAGAGAGAGAGAGTAAGCCGAAAGAGAGACAGAGAGAAAGGCACTCACATGTCGGGCAAGTGTCAGAGAAGAGTTTTCCTCTCTCCGTCGAGGTCGAATAGTCAAATAGATCAAACTTCGCTCCTGTTATGATCTAGTCTGTATATTTAGTATAGATTTCGGCTTTGCTGTTTGTGCAACAGTTGAAGTACGGCTGACAACTGCTGCTCCCAAGTGTAAACTGTCAACTTGCCACTGCGAGAGAAAACTCAGTGTGGGCTGCATTAGTAAATAAAGTACTTACATTCATATGTATTTGTGTGTATACAGTAGACATGTGTAGGACTTAGTAAGTGATAAGTTTTCCTTACTTTTCCACGCACTTCCGCTCGCATTGAGTGAGAAGGGCTCTTTCGAGACCTTAAAGTGTCAGAGGTGCTGGAATTCCACAGAATTTTCACTTGGGTAAACAGCCGCTACTTGTCTTACTTTCCCCAAGATATTCAGATAAGATAGGAGTATGAACCTGGCATACGAAATTAGACTCAAAGATCTCCTTTCGATGCCAAGCAAATTGAAATCGAAATTCAATTCAAAATTGTATTTTGAATTTTTATTCGTATTTATCTCAAGTTGCAAGTCTTGCAAAATTGTCGGAGTCAAGTTTCAGTTATATTATATAATTCTATAATTATTTCCTGCTCACTTTAATTATTTATTTAAGTAGAGTGTTGAGAATGAAGAGAGAAATGATTTTTCATAACTCTCATGAATAATAGTTGCTTTTAAATGGAAACTGTAGCTTTTTCTGACTTTAATTTCAATGTTGATCTGAATTTGATATTTGTATTTTTTAGAAACTTTTTTTTGAATGTTGGTGAACTGCTTTTAGTTCACATTAAATAAATAAATAAACGGATTTATCAACGAGCGCATCGTAAAGTGCAGTTATTAATTCATAAAACATTTACCCATCTCCACCCCACCCACCCACTTGCCACTTCTACCTGGCACTTCTTCTGCTTCCTCTTTTGTTGTTGCCACCCGCTTTCCCGTTAACATGGCAATCGCCATGTGACAAATGCTGCCACATTAGCCAGTTGTAGTAGTTGTAGTCCAACTCCAAAGCCGTCGAGTTGCAGCTGTGGTGCCAGCGGTCGCTTTGGTGGTTGCTGTGGTTGCAGTGGCTGCAATGGTTTCGGCGGTTTCGATGCTTCCATTTTGAAAGTTGATTTGTTCGAACTGATTATGGGGCATGCTTCTCTCTGTGTGTGTGTGTGTGTGTGTGTTTGCCGCTGCGGTTTGAGCATTGCACAGATAATAGTTTTAAATAAATTAAAAATCGACTACTTTAATTGGCAAATGCAAAGAAAATAACTAATGTGCATTAGCCACAAGGTTTAAACCAATTAGTCAGCCGCAAGGCGAAGACTTGAAGACAAATATGCGGACGTGACTTATCAGTCAGACAAACTACTATATATATATATATATATATCAGGTGGATGTCGTCAGTGTCATTTGGGCATTAAATATAAACAAAGTGTGTCAGACAGCTACACACAGAGAGAGGGACAACTCTTGTCAGTCAACTTGTCCACCCACTCCAAGTAAACCTATTGAGTTTCAAGGGATCACCTTTGTCTCTGACTCTGTGTGTGTGTGTGTGTGTGTGTGTGATTACACAATCAGTGAAAAGTCATCTACATCTTCTCGGGCATGTTTCCATCTCAATCTTCTCACAGCTGCCTACACCTGTCGCCTGTCTAATTTATGCCCAAGACTCAGTCCGCGTCTAAAGCTCCCAATGACATATGGCATATAGATAGGTAGATAGATAGATAGATAGATGGATAGATATAGATATGTACAACATGCATATAGCTGGTTGCTGCTTGCTGGTTGTTGGCTATATGTTTATGTTTATGGCCATGTTCAGTCATTAATAGCCAGACAACGCTGACGACAACCAACAAATTAGTGCGACTCTTGATTTGCATAATTGAGATTAAGATTCGAATTTCCTTATTTTTCTTTCATTCTCTTCATTTCTGGACATTTCCCGTGGTAATTTGTAGTTTGTCAATGATTAGCAGTGAGACTTTGGTGTCTTTGGAATGGCTGAGTGGATTACGATTGAATTGTGGAACAGCTGCTGCTGCTGCAAACTCCAATTAAAGCCGGAAAGCCATAAAAATTTGGGTTTTTAAAAAGTTTATTGAACTTTTTATTTGAAAAACTATTTTTTTTATAGTTCGAATCCATTAAAATTGAGCAGAGTGGAGCATCTTCTTCTTAGACTTCTTTTTTGGAATATAACTTATCATATAATCTGAGCAGATTTTAGTTTATTTTATGATATCGATAACTGCCACCGATTCGTGATTATCGATACATACACAATTTCTAAGGCAGCGGCTTCCAATTTATATATAGAATACATTGATCTATCACCAATCAACCCTTCAAATTTTATAGAGTTCGAATAAGAAACATCCAAGTTAAAGGTGTTTATTATCCTGCTGCTTACATTTGGGTGTGCAAAGTATGTTCAAAAGGAAAACT